GCAGTGCCTCGATCCATGCCGCAGGGTCTTGAACTGGCTCCTGGTAGAAGATCTCGTGGGCAGTGAGGAAGCGGTGTGGCCACCGTCTGCGAGCTTCAACTCTTGCGGCTCTGAGGATTGCTTGGCACAGCTTTGTCGGATACTGAGCACTCCGACGGACCTCTTTTCCTTGCAGGGGTACGCAGAACAGCAGCTCGTCAGGTGTCATCTTGCGAGAGACTGCGTCTGCGATCTCCTTGGAGTTGGTGAGCCATTGGTATGTCTTCTTGATTGGATCACCATTGGAGTTGGTGCCTCCATATGCCCCAACGTGACCGTGGACCATGTAGACGTCGTCCCGCATGGAGAGTTCTCGTACTTCAGGTAGGTCCCAGATTCTTGAAGCTCTGGGATTCTCAAACAGGAAGTAGTTGCCGTCGGCAATCTGTTTGAGGCAGGACTCAACGCCAAGTCGAACGAGCGGTCGGTCGTCTCGTCGAAGTTGATCTATAGTGTCTCTTCACGGCCGCGACTGGTGTAGTTGAGGTTCTCATTCATGATGTTACAATGAGTGCACTTGAACTTGTCTTGGGCTTCTCGCCATGTCCTTTTGATCTCCGGCTTCTTGAGGTCCAGGCCGTAGAGGATGTCAAAAGGTTGGCAGGCTCTCAAACCATATCGGTGTGCCAGCTGGGTGATTTCAGCCTCGCCCGCAAACAATTCCATGATGTCAAACTTTGGGATGTCCTTGGCTGGTGGAAGGTCGGCGTAGATCTGGTGCTCCACGGTGAGGACCTGAGCTGAGGTGTTCAAGCGTTTCATCCGTCCCACTCGAATTCTTGAGCCGTCTCTGCTTCCGAGTCCAGCTGGTAGTGCGCTGCCCTGCGTAGTTGTCGTGACTCGGCTGCGAGGAGGCTCCAGGCATCGATCTCGTCCTCCTGAGGGTCGGACTCCTCCAGGTTCAGAGCTGCCGTTTGCCGAGATGCGTGACTGGGCTTGATACGCTGCTGCCTCTTGGGTGTAGCGGCTGCCAAAACTGCTGTCTCCGGCATCGGAGGGGAGGTCGAAGGCAAAGGACCTTGGTGATAGTCCAGGAGCGCCTGGCGTCGGTTGATCTCCCAAGATCCATCCACAACAGTGCTGGAGGAAGGCAGTGGCAACGGTGAGGAACCCGATGCTGCGACAAAGTACTCCCAACCTTGGCGATCGGGATTCCACTTCCATTTCTTCTTGCACTCCATGCACTGGGCGTAGGAGCCGTGGCGGTTTCCGGACCGCTTGATGCGGCGATGATCGCAAGCTAGTCCTGCCGGCGGTGCTGTCGCAAGAACTGCCGGGGCCGCCTTGGCCTTTGCCTTTCTCTTTGGACATGCCGTTGAGGGAGCCGATGAGATAGCCAGGGGCGTCAGCAGGAATCTCTGGGCACGGCGTGCCCACTCCATGGACCGCTTGACCAGGTGGCGCCAGCTCCGAAGCCATTGCGGAGGAGAAGGACGGTCCACCTGCATGGGCTGTGACCAGTGCGTCACACACGTCGTCGTCAAGGGCTTGATCTGGAAGAAGCGGTGCATACTCAGTGGTCATGCCCTTGACTTGAAGCTCTTTGGAAAATGAATGCCACAAATGAACATGCTCAGAAACTTTGAACTGCATCACATCGATTGCAATGTGGCCATTGATCATGAGGAGTGGTGCTGTTGCATTCAACTTTCCAAAAACAACTTGCCGACCGGCCAAATCGATCACGGCGCCGACGTCGGTCATCCATGGTTGAGAGGCTAAACACGGGATGCTAGCTGAAAGGATGCAGGGTGCCAAAACACACACCAAAACCTGCTGGAAAACAGTAGATGTACTCTGACTTGACCGTGGGGCCCTTGCCAAACTCAAACAACTCTTGTAGAGGAAGGCGTACAGGTGCAAGTCCCCATGCTTTCAACTTGGTGGTGTGGGTATCGGCCCAGAGCTGTCCCGCACACATTCTTTGGTACGCAGTGTCCAAAATGACATAGCCGGCTGCTCGGGTAGCGTCGGCCAAATAAACTTCATGGCGCTCATGGCCTGGAGTGGAAGCCACAAAAACCTGGTGCGAGGCATGGCTTGGCTCTGCATCATCAGCTGCTTCCTCATCGTCGGTGAGGTAGTGGTGACTCATGAAGTGCACGCTCTTGGCAAAGGGTCGGTTCTTGCCACCTTTGCCGCCATCAGAAGATTGGCTTTTGCTGGAGCCTTTGGTCGATGAAGCCGTACAGGCAGGATCGCCTTTCCAGTGTCCAACCTGTCCGCAGGCAGCGCAATGAGATGTCCTCTTGCGGTCTTCGATCGACTTCTTGGCAGCTGGTGGGTTGCCAAACTTTCTGGCCTGAATGACAGAGGCCAGCTTGCGTGCCGTCACGGTCATGATCTCGTTGATCTGGGCGCCCAAATCATCATCATCTGCTTGCTCATCATCGTCCTGCTCGGCGGGATCGCCGGTTGCATCATCATCCTCGTTGACCTCAGGCTCAAAGTCCAGAGTGCCATCGAGGGGGTCATCCTCCTGGTCGTTGTCATTCTCAGGAGCTTGGTCATTCTCCGTGATGTAGGTTCGCCGGACAGGTTGATGAACTTGTCGAGCATGGTCCTTCCCTTTGCCCTTACCTTCACCTTTGGGTCTTCCATGGAAAGGTCGTCGATCAGGAAGGTTGGACAAAGGTGGAGGGACCGGTCGATGGTCCGGCCACTGGAACATCATCACGTCCTTCACGGTGTCGAAGTCTAGCGTTTGCATCGCGCCGATGAGGACTTGTCGTTGATGTTCATGGCTCAGGCGAGCTTGCTCCAGCAAGCGGGCTCCACGAGCTTCTGAGTCGTACATCTGCTCCACGTTGATGCCCAGGGCGGACAATGTACGTTCCACCCTCCGGTATCGGTTGATGAATGGCCTCATGGCTTCTGTGGGTGCTCGGCTGATGTGTTCGTAGTCAGCCAACACCTTTCTCTTCACGTGGACCGAGCGGGTCTCGACAGCCTTGCGGACGATCTCGAGGATATAGTCCACGCCCTCGTTGGAGAACAGCTTGTCCACGGGGGCGTCTTCAAGTTCTTCTTCAAGTTCCCCTTTCAATGACTGAAAGAGGAGGATTCCAGTCTCGCGGACAGGGACGTAGTTCTGGACTTGCAGCATCCAGATGCGAACGCGCTTCTCCCATTTCTGGTAGGCGCGCAGGTCACCCTTCTCATAGTGCCATTGAGGCGCCGGAGGAACGGCGCCGCCCCTGAACTTGACCCCAGGCTGGGGCCCCTTCAAGGTGTTCCATGTAGTCTTACTCGAGGATGAGGTGTCGTTCTTCTTCTTGATGTCCTCGAGGGTGATCACTTCGTTCGGTTCCGGCTCACTCGATCTTCGAGAACCACCCGTGCATGAAGTCGAGGTTGAGGTCGTTGATGCTGGTTCACCTCAGAAGGAGTGACAGTTGGGTCCCAAGTGAAGGCCTCGCTCTCGGCTTGCTCAGAACCGAGGGGCCCTTCGCCGTCAGGCGGTAGAGGATCAGGTGCTCCATGGAGTCCTGGAGGACGCCGTGGGCATTCTGCATGATGATGACCTGGTGGTCGGTGGGGTTCAGGATCAGCACCACGACACCCGCGGAGGCCCACGACCGCCACGACAGCCACATTGGTAGCTACCCGTGGGCATAGTCCCCATTGGTGGAGTCCTGAAGGGAGTCGTCATAGATCGGGTGTCGTATTGGGCTCGTTGATAGCTTTGCTGGGCGGTCGAAGGCCGGGGAACATGCGTCCAGCCTGCGTGACCATCAGCGCCGGTGCTGGCGCGGTAGTCCGCTTGGCCGCACTCGGTGCAGTGCCATTGCCCTTTGTCGAGGCGGAAGCCGTCATGACCACAGTTCCGGCATACCCAGTACACGGAGATGTCGGTTGGGGTGTCCGTGAACTCATAGCTCTGCGATGAGGTGTCCATCCGGTAGGTCTGAGGTGGATCATCAGCAGTCGTGCCTTGTCGGTCAGCGGGCTCATCGTCCTCAGGCAGCGGCCTCTTCTGCAAGCGCGGTTGCGACTCCAGGAGGGAGGAATCAGTCATCTCCCCAAGGTCATGCGGTCGTCCAGCTGCTCGTGGAAAGGCCATGGGATCGGCAGGCGAAAGGTCGGGCTAACAAGCCCGCGGTAGCCCACTTTGGGGCTCCGCTACCAACTCACTGCAATGCTTGCGTGTGCACTGCAGGGCGGACTTTTGCTAAAAAGGGCTTGAGCTCGAGGTGCACCTTTGGTGCGCGGCGAAACATGTGCTTCGATGACCTGATGGTTTCACGAAGAGCTTGGTGCAACTGAATGCTGGATTTTGTCATCTACTACCAATTTTAGGTTCCACACGCAATCAAATGCAAAGAGTCATAAGCGTTGGCAGCCAAGGAATCTCGTCCAGAAGAAAATCAAGAGAATGGCTCCAACATATGATGATGCAAAGTGTCAACTGTGTCCCGGCAAGATTGCACAGAATGGACCACGTGTAGATCCTTCTGCAAGACGGTGCACGGAAACACTCTTGCACATGGTATAGGGGCCCACTGCACTCAGTTCAGGAGGGTAGGCCCGGGGTCCACGTGCAAGCATTCGTGAAAAACAATGACAGCCAAAGAATCTCTCAAGAAGTTGTTTGTTTCCTCCACATAAACTTGTGTGAAGTGCATCACGCGGTTGCTTTCCTTCATCCTACGGATTTGGTTCTGGAACTGCTGACAAAGACCATACTATTGTCTGTTTGAAAGTTCTGCGGGAAGCAAAGGGCTCTTGAACTTGAGCTTTGCTTTTGGGGGGATGCTGGTTTTATAGTATGTCGTGCGAGACTCATGCGTTGAGACTTGCATCCGAGCTGTGATTGCAAAAATATGCTGAAATGGTCAAATCGAATAACCGGAAATGAAAGAATAAAAATACCTTAAAATCAAGGTGAGGGACCCTCTCTAAAACGGCCCATTTGAGAAGGCCCTTCTCTCTGTTTTCTCATTTCAAGATTTTGACTTCGCCTCCGTCCACAGCTCCCACGGCTCCCGCAAATCTTCCTGGCAAACATGTCTTGCAAAGCAAATGTTGGAACCCAAGTGCAAAGAAGAGTGCAGACCCACATGTGTGTGTGTGTGTGTGTTGTCGACATTGCATGTCCAAAGAAAACCCGGAGCACAGCAAAGGCCCATTTTCTCCGACAATGAGCTTTTCGAGGCCGAACTACATGGGCTTCACGCTCCTCTCATTTCAAAGAGCTCAAATGTGACTGAAGCCCGGACTAGCGCTAGCTGATCGAGAATGGGGACTTAGGCCAGAGGCCACACTTCAGCTCTTGAGAACCTTGAGGCTCTCATCTTCATCATCTTCACACAAAGATCCTCTTTTGCTCCCAGAGCCTTCAGACGACAGTGCTCAGCTAATTTGGACCACAGTCGAAAGCTGAGTGCCGAGCTTTTCCCAGAACTTGCAGTCAGAGGCATGAAGCCCCAACTGCGGAGAAATTCCAACATCGTCAGTTGTGTCGGACAGGACCTGCGGTCCCACAAGTGTCCGTCCAAACCACGGTCTGTCCCGCCAAACAGCCTTTTTATTGCCTATTTCTTTGCAAAAAACGAACTTGGAAAATACAGAATGCAACTTTGACATGACATTACTATCCAGGTCCAGGTGCCAACGTGGGCGCCGTCGCTGCTGGGCCAAGGTAACGTGGCCAAGACATCGGTTGTCCAGAGGCTGCAAACGATGCCCATCGTGCACCTTCAGTGACAGGTCTTGTATCAAAGCACAAGTAGCATAAGTTCACTGTGCTCCAAAGAAGGCAACAGCTCAATTGCTGCATTGTTCAAATCAACAAACAGTCTACAACTGTCGGCAACTCTCATCAAGAGCCCTGGGCGACTCATGCGAAACCAAAGAAGAACGCCAAGGAACGCATCTCCTCGCTCAAGGCGCGCTCACTGGCGGTGAATGTGCAAAGAGTCCTTCCAAACAAATCCAGGCAAGGCTTGTAATTACAGGACGTCCTTCTTCAATGCGTCGATCTGCAGCTACACGGCTATGTGGGGCCTGTTGTTGGGAGGTCCGACTCCATCAGGCCCAGCCTTCCAAAGAGTTGCGTTGCCCAACAATCTTGCTCCAAAAGTGAATCCCCTGCCTCATTCCCGAACACAAACTTTACCTCAGCAGCACAGAGCTCTAAACCCTTCTTTTTGCCGCTGTTCTCTTGCCAAGGGTCGTCATCCCCATGAATTGCAAAAAGTTTCCTGGGCCATGCCAACACAGCAAGTATCCGACAAACATTCATTGAACCGGCTATTGACGAATGTTTGCATCGCCACAAGGATGTCCCAGCCACAACACAAGAAGTTGCCTTGAAAAGCCTGTCAAGTGGTTTCAATCTCAAGACTATGCAGGCCTTCTGAAGTGGCAAGGCCACCAGACTCTTTAAACTGGTCCAGGAAAAAAAACATTTGCTAAGCTTGCGAAGAAGAAACAACCCATGAGCCACAAAGGTTCCCGCAACAAAGCCCCCATCTGAACCATTTGAATGTAAGAAGTGTTGGTTGAATATTGCGGTGTGCCTTGTGCATCACACATCTGAGACTGTGATCTGCGCATTGCCTTGCGATCTGAGGCTCGTGTAAGCTCCGCGGCGAGGCGGTGCTACGTCGAGCTCGGGGCCATTGGAGCATCCAAAGCCATCCGGGCGAGCTGAGGGAATGAAATGCGCAAACTCGAAGGCCCAGCTTGGGACATCCATGGCCTGAACGAAGAATCAAAGAAATGTGACCGGCGTGAAACGTGCTGAGAAGCATATATAACAAAAAATGTCACCCGCCTGTGCATACCGGAGGAGCCTTGGATTTCACACAACTGGTCAGGTCGATCACTGGGTTTCACAACTTACTTGGATGGTCGACAGACCTAGATTTTGCAGAGCTTAGTGGACCTCAGTTTGGACCTGCGCCAGCGACTTGCGAAGAAGTGATCCAAAACCTGTCCCTGATACGTCCCCAACACTTCTGGAATGGGAAAGGAAGGTGCACGCGATGTGGCCTTAAAATCAGCAAACACTGGCCTAAGCTTGAGGTTCTCGACCTTGTTGTTGAAGGGTGCTTCGTTGGTCAGGTCCTAGCCAATTTTATGTTGTGGTCCATCAGTCTCATGACTCAGTTTCGAGACCCACTGGGGTTCAGAGCTGAACTTGCAAGAAGCAAGGACCAACCAAAGCAAAACAGACTGGCACCAACCCTTCTAGCCGTCCTGGGGTCAAAAAAACAATGTGTTAGCAGAATGCTGCCCAGAAGCTGATAGCTAGGACAAATGACCATACTGTCAGCATCTGCCTGAAGGAAAGCCTTTTGTGGACTACCGTCAAATCGAGACAGCGGGTACTGCTGCAGCACCTCACCACAGAGAGCTTCTGGCAAATAGGAAAAACTTTAGTTTTTGCTGCACATGGGCCTGCCTCTTGAGCTCGCTACCCGTTAAAAACTGAGGGTGACCACTTCACTGTTGCCTTGTACACTGAGTCGACCGCCGGAGGGGTAAACCGTAACAAAAGAACAAAACTCACCAAGATTCGGTTCAATGTTCAAAATGAGACCTGCAAGAATCAGGCCCATCAACCATGGCCAAAGGAGCCAACAAGTCAGATGAATGCCGTCTACGAAGCCGGAAACTCTGGAAATCCCTCACTACAAAATGGGATGGAGGCATCATCTAATGGCTGGACAAACTAGATATATACCCATCCATGGTCCCTGTTCATTGTTGAAAATCGTTCGAGGCTGCTGCGTTCCTCGCATCAGAAACTTGAGAGAGGAGGGGGTGAACGAAAGGTAGCAGGCAATCACAAGTAACCCTGGTAGAAGTCCATGACGGCGTGACCCGGCGCAGGGGGGATTTGATCCAGGGAGGGGGGGGGCCCCCCCCCCCGACGAACAGAATCAACTCTTACAGGACCAAACTCAATGCACAATCCCAACTCCTGATTGTAATACCTTTTTGCTAAAGCAAGGAGAACTCAGGTAGCTCAAGCTACCTTTCGTGAGTAAAGGCACGGCATCTGCATTGGTGCCCCAAACCTTTCGGATGGCCTTCTCGTAGTCATTGGCTCCTGTCCTTGTTTCACTTTGGCATGACTATGAAGATGACTGCAAAAACATGTGAACCTTTCAGGCCACCCTACCTGCACTTGACACTTTGGCATGCGTGTGTGCTGTTGACATTTTCGTGTCCAAGCGGAGCTTTTCAAGCCAAGCAACTGATTCTCATCGGGTGGCACATACCCCATCGTTGGCGCGACACCGTAGAATGCTGCCGTTCCATCTTTGGAATTGAAGCCTTTAACAGTCATGCTGCTTGCAATGCTTCATTTTGACTTGTCAAACAGGGTCACGGCGGGCGTTAGCGACTGTGGGGGGCTTTGAGGTTTGTCTCTTTATAAGCCGGTTGGTCACGAGACCATACGTTTAACGTTCTTGCAGGGACTCTTTGAAATGGAAAGGCATGAAACACTGTACGTTATACCTGTAGTGTTGATTTTTCCCGAGAGCGTCTACGAAGGGTTTTTTGTAAAAAACATCTGTAGAACTACATCTTGCACATCTACATTTCCACATCTTCACACCTGCATATCTACATCTCTGCTCATCTTCACATCTGCACATCTACATCTCTGCTCATCTTCACATCTTCACATCTGCACATCTTCACATCTGTACATCTACATCTTCACACCTTCACATCTGCATATCTACATCTTCACATCTTCCTATCTGCACATCTCACATCTGCGGATCCTCTCGCTCTTCTTTTCTTTCTCTCTTAAGGCGGGGGCGGTGCCGCCGGAGCACCACGAAACGCAGCCCTCTGCGGAGATCGCGCGTGTCGAGGGCGCGAAATGCAGGTGAGATTACGTTTTTGCCCGGTCCAGCGCAACCCTCTGCGGAGATCGCGCGCGTCGAGGGAGCGAAATGCAGGTGAGATTGCATTTTGGATTTGGCACGCGCAACCCTCTGTGGAGATCGTGCGTGTCGAGGGCGCGAAACGCAGGTGAGATTGCGCGTTGTATGCTTGGAAGGTTACCAATGGCTTACATCCAGTTTTTGTGGCACAGAATGCGGGTAAAGTTTTCCAGTTTTTGAGAAGTCTCGTGGAAAATACTCGGCTGCGAAGGTTTCATTCTCACTTTTTGCGAATGTCTCGTGGAAAACGCTCGTTTTGGAAGCCTTCATTCGCCCTTTTCGCGAAAGTCTCATGGAAAACGCTCGTTTTGGAAGTCTACAATCTGACTTTTTGCGAATGTCTCGTGCAAAACGCTCGCTTTCCAAGTCTACATTCTCACTTTTTGCGAATGTCTCGTGGAAAACGCTCGTTTTGGGAGTCTACATTTTCCGGTTTTTGAGAAGTCTCGTGGAAAATACTCGGTTGCGAAGACTTTTTGCGAATGTCTCGTGGAAAACGCTTGTTTTGGGAGTCTACATTCTCACTTTTTGCGAATGTCTCGTGGGAAACGCTCGTTTTGGAAGCCTTCATTCTCACTTTTTGCGAATGTCTCGTGGAAAACGCTCGTTTTGGAAGCCTTCATTGTCAGAGTTTGCGAATGTCTCGTGGAAAACGCTCGTATTGAAAAACGTCCTTTCTGTGCTTCCACGGTGTACAGTTGCATGAGAACTTGCAATTGATGATTGTTCGTCGTATGTGAGAATGTTTATATCAAAGTAACGCAGTATTTGCCTTTGACGACCAAGGTTTTTCACTATTTTGTGGAAACTGTTCATACAACATTGTGATCATATACCTTCCTGACGGCACGTCAGCTTGAGAGAATGTTGGATGTCATTTATAAAAGCATTGCGGTGCCGAGTTTTTGTATGGATATATATATAATATATAGAGACATTTTCATATGAAATGGTCTTAGTGTTTGCCTTTCCGGGCATTTTGGTACGGGGCTTCTTTTGCAGGCTTACATGGTAATTTTCGTATGAGAATGAGATCATACGCGTTGTTCACGGCCTGTTGGTACCGAGCTCTTTTTTGCAAGCTCTGG